ATATATATATACACATTGGAATATTAGTCATAAAAAAGAATAAAATCTTGCCATTTGTGACAATATGGGGGGACCTAGAGGGTATAATGCTAAGTGAAATAAGTCAGACAGAAAAAGATAAATACCATATGATTTCACTTATATGTGGAATCTAAAAAACAAAACAAATGAACAAACAAAACAGACTCTTAAATACACGGAACAAACTGGTTGCCAGATGGGAGGTAGGTCGGGGGATGGGTGAAATAGATAAAGGTGATTAAGAGATATAAACTTCCAGTTATAAAACAAATAAGTCACAGAGATGAAAAATACAGCATAGCGAATATAGTCAATAATATTGTAATAATGTTGCAAGATGATATCTGGTGACTACACTTATCATGGTGAGCACTGAGTAATGTGCAGAATTGTTGAATCAATATGTTATACACCTGAAACTAATATAACATTGTATGTCAATTATACTTCAATAATAAATAAGAAAAAATAAAATAAAGAAAGAATAAAAGTGATACTTTTATTCTAGAAGTTGGATAGAGATTCTGAGAAGACTCGAGAGCAAGTAAAAGCTCTGTCTTTAAGGAAATTCATTTTTACTTAGAACTGACTTAAATAAGAAGTGGAACTGACCTCTCTCAATTAGCCAAGGAGCTAATGAACTAGAATTGCCTTTAGAGATTCTGAGATGAGGGCAACAACCACAGAGATCGATTTTAACCTGGTCTTCTCCTTTCGCTCAGCTTATCTGGATTGGGACTGACTCTCTTCACCAGTTGCTTCCTGTGACCATAAGCCAAGAAGATAGAGACATCCTCTTCTCCCTCCTCTTCTCATATGTCACAGGATATTTGAATTTTTGAATGTGTCCTAAAATCAGTTAGAATATAAAAATGATCATGTATGGCTTGCTTAATTGGATCGGAATTCCATAAAGAGCAGGATGTTGATTTTCTGATGCTTTCTACTTCAGGACATTTATCATTCAGGATTTGCCTTTCAAATCCTATTAGCTTGCTTAAATATTGGAAACATCCATTTATTTGTGTATTTGCTTGAATGTGCAATTCATGCTCTTCTGAGTCAACAACTATGAATTATTTGCTTTACTCCAAAGAGTTCATTCTCTTGTTGAGTTTTCTCAAATAGCTCTTTTGAATTATCAAGTAAATTGCAGATTTCTTTGTCTTTGGGTTTAGTTACTGGAGAATTATTGTGACCTTTTGTGATGTCATGTTTCCTTCATTCTTCATGTTCCTTGGAACTTTGTGTTGCTGATCTCACATCTCAAGTACCAGTGTCTTCCTCCAATCATTACTAGCTGCATTCAGATGGGAGACACTTTTTGTTAGTCTTGCTTATATCTGGGGCTTTCTCTGACCTTGTATGGATAGACCTGCTCCGTACTTCAAGTGCCCTGTTGTGGCAGAATTCTTACGTTTTTATGTCTTCTCTCAAAATTCAATGCACCAGACTGATGGCTAGAAAACTTGTTTTCCCAAAGGTAGAGCTACGGCCCAAAATTGTAATTTTTCCCTTGCCAAAGACTTTGCCTTCCCTACTGTGTGCACTCCCATCTGCCAGGGCTCATTCTTGCCACCACACTTAGAAGCAGACACAAGGAGCCAGCCACAGAGTGGGGAAATATGAGTTTGGCACTCAGGGAATTAGGGAAGCCTGCAGGCCAGGTGGCTACCACTACACATCTATTAGAATGACCAAAATTGAGAACATGGACAACAACAGTGCTGGCAAGGATGTGGAGTAACAGGAACTCTATCATTGCTGGTGGGAATGCAAATGGTACAGCCATTTCAGAAGACTGTTTGCGAGCTTCTTAAAAAACTAAACATACTCGGGGCACCTGGGTGGCTCAGTCAGTTAAGCGGCTGCCTTCGGCTCAGGTCATGATCCCAGAGTCCTGGGATCGAGCTCCGCATCGGGCTCCCTGCTCAGCAGGAAACCTGCTTCTCCCTCTCCCACTCCCCCTGCTTGTGTTCCCTCTCTTGCTGTGTCTCTCTCTGTCAGATAAATAAATAAAATATTTAAAAAAAAAAAAACTAAACATACTCTGATCATATAATCCAGCTGTCACACTCATTGGTATTTATCCAAAGAAATTGATAAAACACAAAAACCTGCACATTCATGTTATTAGCAGCTTTACTGATAATTGCCATAACTCTAAGGGAACCATAACATCCTTCAGTAAGTGAATGGATAAATAAACTATAGTACATCCACAATGGAATATTATTCAGCACTAAAAACAAATGAGCCATCAAGCCGTGAAAAGACATGAAGGAGACTTAAATTCATATTGCTAAGTAAAAGAAGCCAATCTAAAATGGCTACATACCGTATGATTCCAACTATATGACATTCTGGACAAAGCAAAACTATGGAGACAATAAAAAGATCAGTGGTTTACAGAGGTTTCAAGGGAGGAAAAGATGAATAGATGGAGCACAGAAGATTTTTAGGGCAGGGAAAATACTCTGTATAATACATAATGATGGACACATGTCAATACATCCAAACCCACAGTACGTACAACATCAAGAGTAAAGCTTAGGGGTGCCTAGCTGGCTCAGTTGGAAGAGCATGCAACCTTGATCTCAGGGTCGTGAATTCAAGCCCTATGTTGAGCATAAAACTTACTTTAAAAAAAAAAGTGGGGGCGCCTGGGTGGCTCCGTCGTTAAGCGTCTGCCTTCGGCTCAGGTCATAAACCCAGGGTCCTGGGATCGAGCCCCC